AGCAACCAATACTATGCAGTCTCATAAAAATGCCTAGTATAGAAATAAATTTTCTTAAATATAACTATCCAATTTAAGTTTGGAAGCCTTTATCTTTTGAGCCAGAGACACACACTGCTGACAAATTCTTTTCAGAGGTAACATGGTATAACAAAAGCAGCTGTGGATCAGAATCCCAAAGTCCTAGGTTTAAATCTCAAATCGGCACTTCATTGGCTTAAGTATCTTTGATCAGTCACTTAATTTCTTTCTGTTAAAGTTTCTTTTTCATCTGTTTAAAAAAAGTGGGGACAGGTGATATTATGGTGTTAGGCTCAGGCAGGATTATGACATGGAAGTTTCCCTGTAAACACTAAACCCCTGACCATAAAACATCAAGCACATCCCTACTTTTCAGAACAAAATTAAGTCCCGGGTATATGATGTCTTCTCTACTTCTGGTGGATGTCTTTACCTCTGAGAGGTATGGGGCCCTTTCAGAGACTTCAAAGGATAGGATTCCCTTATGAGGCAAGTAACTAAAGAGCCCAATGCCCTCACACTGTTTCACTGAGTTGCAGTTCATTTACCAGCAGATTTAGTGAAATTCTGGGAACACTGATTCTTTCAGATCTGGTTTCATAGACCTAGTCCCTTCCTACCTTCACATGCCTCTGGACCACAGGCTCATTAGAAGTTAAACTTCTTTTAAAGATTTAGGGCTTTTTTTAAGTTTATTTTTTTTCTTCTATCTGGGGGAACCAAACAGAAAGAAATCAGGTAAAAATAAGGCAGAAAATATGCATTGTTTTTAAATAAGAAATAAATATGACATCACAAAACTAAATTAGTGGTATTCTGGTCAGTAATGAGGAAATTTTTTTCATAGACTGCTAAGTGGGGATTAAAAAAGAATAAGCAGTAATCACTCTAAATCATTACAAAATTTACCTCATACAGTAGAATAAAAAAGACGACTTATGATGCAGCTTCCACTTCTTAGTGGCCAAACTAAAACACATAAACTCAAACCTGCTATTCTATTCTAGGAGTTTAATTACAAACTCTTATTTCATCTATTGGTGGTGTTCACTGCTGCTGCTGCTGTTAAAGGGTGAGAAAAGTATTTGCTTACTCTTTGGTTTCTATATTTGGTAGTTTGGGTGCAATCAAGATGAGAAAAGACAGGTATTTCACAAAAATGGTTGGATTTTTTCTCACCTAATGCACTTTAGAAAGCTTTAGGAAGCTTCCTGAAAAGGTAAAATTAAGAATAGAAAGATGCAAGGCTTTCCAAGTTATTTATGGCAACAGAACTGGAAAGGAGAGAATCTCTAAAAGGGAGAGAAAGACCTAAGGAGTCAGGACACAGGTTATAAGAGTTCAGTAAAGAACAGTTCCTTGTAATACTAGAGAATGGCAGTAAAAGAGTCAAGTATATGACAAAACATTACCCACTGACCAGAAGAAAATTAACAGGAATATTCAATTGCTGAAGGACAAAAAGGACTAACAATCTCTGAGATCCAATTTCATCATCTGTATAATGAAAACAACCTTAGGACTGTCACCCCCAGCACACTGACCGGCCCATCACTGATCTTCAAAAAAGGGTAGTTTCTTCTACAAGCCAGAAGGGAAAGGTACAATATACTTAAAGTGATGAAAGGGAAGAAACTACAGCCAAGAATACTCTACTCAACAAGACTCTCATTCAGATTTGATGGAGAAACCAAAAGTTTCCCAGACAAGCAAAAGTTATGAGAATTCACCACCACCAAATCACCTTCACAACAAATGACAAAGAAACTTCTCTAGGTAGGAAACACAAGAGAAGGAGAAGACCTACACAAAATAAACTCAAAACAATTAAGAAAATGGTAATAGGATCATACCTATGGATAATTACCTTAACTGTAAATGTACCAACCAAAAGACATAGACTGGGCAGATGAAAACATATGCATGTATGCACTTCCACTTGCCACATAACTCTACTTAACCCCCCAAACTGCATGTAATTATTTTATATTGTCAGGTTAACCATGTTTCTATTATGGCTTGCAACTGTAATGATCGTTTTTGTCTGGCTATTTATTGTGAAAACTGATAGACATCTTTAACTATCCTGGGGGGAAAAAAAGGGTAGTATCAGCCCCTCCCTCTAAACTCAATCACAGAACATTACAATGGGAAAGAGAAGTTCAGACATCACTTAGTCCCTAGCAAATAAATCAAATAATTTGAAAATGTTACAACCTGTACAGAATTTGTGTATCATAAAAGATTTCAAAGGCATTAAGGTATTGCTACAGGATCTCAAAAACCTTATCGAGGTCAAATACAGATGAACAGCTGCAGTGGGAGAGACTCCTTGGCACTGCTCCAACAGGGGACTCCTTCCCTCACCAACATCTAAGCAACTTATCCAAATTGGTGGGAAGAATGTCTAAGTTCTCCCTCCTTGCTATAAGAATTGTGGATGAGCAAGCAGAGAGTAGAAATGTGTGCTCCAATCTGCTCGTAAAAATCAAAGTTGAAATGCAAAACGTTTTCTCATAGGAATTAATCATAACAGATTTTCAGGCTAGCAATTAAACGATGCAGCTAACACTCCAATTTTAATTGACTGTTTTTCTCACTATAAGTATAATGTTTAGGCTACTTTAAAGACTGAACTGGCTTTTATGAAAAGGCCAAGAAGTGTAACCCTAATATGCCTATGAAAAAAAATGTATTCTGGGTTTTGAACAATTCACACAGGAACTTTCAGACCACATCTGAGGAAGGGATAGTAGAAGAAAGCTGTGAGAGAAATAGAAAGGACGTTTCTTTGGCAGAAAGGACAAATAAACTACACGAAATTACAACTGCTAATGTCTTCAGAATAACTGTCTCTCTCATTTAACAAGCATTTAAGTCCTATCCTGTGCCCAATGCTGTGCCCCTCCACAGGGAAAAATTTTTCTAAAGCTAAACCCACAGTCCCAGAAATGCAGAAATTTCCTCCCATCTTCCTGAGTAAATCACACACCAAATCATAGTGCTTTGAGATTCACATATGCCTATCTTGATGACCTTGCACTGTCTCCGTCTCAGAACCAACACACCTGAGGATATGCCTAGTGCAGTTATTACTCTAAGTACTGTACTAAAGGGAAAAGAAGAAATTAACATTTATTAAGCACTTGGTAGGCTCTCATTTGATTTTCACAACCCTGTAGGTAAATATTATCCCCAACTTACACATTAAGAAAATGATGTTAAATAATTTGCCCACAATACCAGTAAAGAGAAGGCAGGACTCAGAAAACTGCCAACTCCGCTACTCAGAGGTTCCTACCCAGAAATTACTACTTAGCTGCCAGTGGACAGTTGATCACTTTCACATCAATTATTTGTTTTTCTAATTAAGCAGGTCTGAGAGCAAATTATGGGAAAGATACACCACCAACTCTTCATGTCAGAGTATATTTAGTATTTAGGGAATGCTCCAAGAGAAAGGACAAAACGTTCCCAGAGGTGAATCCTAGCTTTCACATCATTTCCCAGTCCCATCTCAATAGACTCTAGCACTAGGGCTCCTTTCATCACTTCCATCTTAGCCTGTGTCAACGTGCACTTGCTGTCATTTAGTCGCTAAGCTGGGTCTGACTCTTGCAACCCCATGAACTGTAGCCCACCAGGCTCCTCTGTCCATGGGATTTCCCAAGCAAGAATAGTGGTGTCAGTTGCCATTTCCTTCTCCAGGGAATCTTCCTGACCCAGGGATCAAACCCATGTCTCCTACACTGGCAGGCAGATTCTTTACCACTGAGCCACCAGGGAAGTCACATTGTGCCCTTAGAGCATAACAGACTAGAAACTTCAGAAAGTTACCTTTCAAAACAAGATTTTCTACCAGCACAGATCTCTCTGCAGGTCCTTAAATTTAAATAATTCAATTTCTACATAATTTGCCTGATGGGATCCCTAGATGTTTGTTACCACTGACAGTTTAAAAAGTTACTTTGTTGTGAACTGTGAACTAAACCTTCATTGAGCTGCAGAAAATATGGAAAACAAAAGTCTATGTTCAGACAGATTTCACTATCTAAAATTTTCCATTAAAACTTCAGGGGGAAAAACCTGTACACTCATTTTTCTATCTAACAGAATAAGATGACAGTGACTTACAATAATGCAATGTGGCTGAACTCTCTTGCATAATAATCACGAAACACTAACACTGTAAAACTAATGTTCAAGCCCTTAAATTATTGAACATTCTTTTCAAAATAATTCAACACTGTAAGAATTATTTAGCTTCTGGAGTTTAACACTTGTAACAGATTTTTAAAAAGGGGAATTTTAAGAGGAATAACGGTCTCATCTAAAAACAGATTCATCGTTTCCTAACAAAACCATGACTATAATATACACTAAACACTGGGGCATGTGCAAGAACACTTCCTATTGTAATGTAATTACTCTTTCTAATATCGAAGGCAAAACAAACTAAAACGGATCAAACATTTCCAGTCAAATGTCTGCAAAATTCTGAATAGAGAAAATGATGTCAACGTATTTTATCCCTTTTTTCTTCCCTTAAGGTTCAGTCCAAAAATAAACAGTCATCCGGCTCATCAACTCAGGGGCAGAAACTCATTAAAACTGAGGTTCGAGAGCAGAGAAAACAGATTCGCAGAAATTAGCTTCTTGGGTAAAACTGCCCTATACCCCGCACCAGAAGCCTCAGGAGCCCGCCGGGGCCCTGCCCGCCCCTCCTGCCGGCCGCACCTGCCGAGGCCGCGCTGCCAGCGCCCCCTGCCGCCCTCCGCGCGCCTAGAGACCCGCTCCCACCCCCGCGCCTCGCGCCCGCGCCGCCCCCACCCCGCGCACACCTCGCGCCGAGGCCGCGCAGCCTGCGGGCCGTGGCGGGGGGCGCGCGGGCGCGAGTCGAGGCGGGGCCCGCACGAGGCCGAGAGCACGGGCGCGTCCCCCCCGAACCCCCGCCGCGGCCAGGCCCGAGCCTCACCTACCTACGCCGTATTTCTCTTCCTCTGTGGGGGTCCACATGGCTGGGCCGGGCGCGGCCCCGTGGGCGCGGCGGCCGGGCGACAGCGCGGCGGGGACGGCCGCGGGCCCGGCTGTGGCGCACCGCGAGCCGAGGCGGGGGAGGTCAAGCGGCGCGGGGCAGTGGGCGGCGCATCCCTCACAGGCCGTCCGGGATGCCGCCGCCGCCACGTCCGGACCGTGAGGCTCCGCGGGCGGCCCGGCAGTCCCGGTCGGCGCGGGTGAGGGCTCGCCACCTGTCCGTCCCCGCCGCTCTCGCGCCGCCGCTTCGTCCCTCACAGCTTCGCTGCTCGGCTCCCGGCGCCGCCGCGGTTCGGCTCGCCTCAGCGGGCTCGCACGATGCTCGCGCATGCGCCGCTCCCCGGCGCGCGGGGGCTCGCGCCGCCCGAGCCCGCGCCGCCCGAGCCCGCGCGCGAGCCCCCACGCGCCGGCGCCGCCGCGCGCCAGCGGAGGGAAATCCGCGAGAGGCGATTGGGCGGCCCGGCGGGGGTCAGGACTGGCTCTTAGGCAGGCCCGAGGCCCTGGGTGGCCCCAAGCTCCGGAGGAGGCGGGGCTGGACAGGTGGGATGCCCTCGGGCCCCCACAGGCTTCGGTATCCAATTCCTCCTGCCAGGCACCCAGAGATCGCCAGTCGGAGAGGAGAGAGCAGGGAAGAGGGAATGATACCGCTTTAAGACCCATTCAGCCGTTATCCACAGCCCTGTCACGACCCCATCCCTAGAAAGATCCCTGGTCCCGCAGGGCGGGGTCGCCGTGCCTGCGTGAACGAAGTCGGGCACACTCAGGCCCCTCGCTCTTTGGACTCCGGGACTCCTCCTAGGCCGAAGCCGCTGGCGCCTCCTTGGTTCTTTTTACCCTGAGTTGGCCTGTGTGGTAGATGTTTGGGGTCAGAACAATCTCTGCACCCTTCCTAGTAAGGAAGCACTTGCTCGTTGCGGGCGTGGGGATGGGGGACAGGGGGTGGTTGTTCCTGCACTGGGCACCGCCTCTGCTGCTCCTAGGTCTCTCTGTCTTACAGGCCATCCTGAGTTTCCGGTTTGGTCCTGATACTTTCCTCCTTTCTCTCCTCCCTAAGAATCCATTCACTCTTAGGTCTGCAGATATCACCTCCTGACCCTAGATCAGTGGCTCATCAAAGACCAGGGAGGTCTTGGCAACTGCAGGATTTCTCCTTTCCACTTGCATCTGGATCACACAGTGTTCCTAGCCCTAATGACAGCAGATCTGTACATCTCTGTCACCAGCACCAAGTTAAAACCCTGGTGTTACCCCCCCACTGTCCCTCCTGAACACTGACTCTTCAAAACCCAGTCCAAGGCATCACCTCCAGAAAAACCTTCCCTGATCCTGCAGCTAGCACACTGGATCCTTCTTTTGTCTGGGATTCAAGCTATGTGCTTTTGTGTCTTACTTTTCCTGGAAGACTGTCAGCTCCCAAAAGGCAAACTCCAGGCTAAAGTTACTTTTCTGGTACATCATGATGCAGCCCAGCAACCTGACACACACTTGTTGAATAGGAAGTGAGACTAATACAAGAATATCTTGGTAATCAACAGATCTTGTTGATTCTTCATTCACCATATTCTTTATGATTCATAACTCCTCCCAGGCCTGATTGTACTCACCTGGATCATTGCCACAGACTCCTATCTCTTCACCTATAGACCCCACCTCCCACCAATGAAGGCTGCCCACTCCTGCCCCCTGAAAAATGTTCTGTAAATTATTGAGTTTATTAATAGCTTGATAACATTTTGATCCAAGAACATACTAAAAGACATATCCTCATTTATGTTGCTTTCTCTTCCAGAGAGCTAGACCCTTACCCAGTGGCCACCGTGGGATGCTTGCCACAGAATGAAGCCCCATTACCACAAAGCTATCTCCAGGAAGCTATCCAACAAGAGGTGTCAAAGCTACACAGACCCTCTGAACAACCTTTTAAGAGCTCTTATTTAATCCTGTAGTTCTACTCCCATTGACTGATATATGTGTTGATAATCTCAGAGCCTAAGAACTAGTTTTCCCAAAATTCACTTATTCCCTGTCTCAATCCATCCTAGATGATGACTTCCCCATATAAAGACAATTCCAATCCATGTCTCTACAGTTCAGCTCAGGGGTGGGAGGGCTTTAATCCCAATTGGCAGAGAAGAGAGGGGGCCAAGGTGAGAGGGAGGGCATCTGATAAGTCCCAGACTCCTACAGTCTTGCTGTTTGCACTAAATTTAGCACGTTGTCTTGAGTTGAAGCAAAAGGGCAAAGCATACATTGTGGAAAATCAGCATTCAGCGGGACAATGCACCTGCTCTTCTATACCTACAGCATCTGCTCTGAGCCTCTCCTCTGGTTCTCAGTCCACTCACCTACGGAGGCTCTCAATCCACTCTCACCCCACACAAGCACACCCCTTCCAGCATATGAACCAACTTCCAGCTTGCATCTGCAAATCAGGACCCTCAGTGCCCTACCCTCTCTTCCTTTCCACCCACTCTTCCACATGTTCCGACCACCAGGAAACCACTGCACCATTGTTGCTCCCTGTCCCCCATCTTCACCCTCTTCTGCTCCACAGGCTCTTTCTGTGGTCCCATGAACACCTGTTGGTACTCCCATCCCCTATTCCCTCTCGCTTCCTTTTCTCTCTACCTGACTTCAGAGAAGAGCTATCCATTCCAAATCCCTTTATTTCATCACAATGTATTTGACTCTCAGTCCCCTACGTTCTGGTTTCTGACACTGTCACCTCGAGGAAACTGCTCTCATATAAGTCCCTGGGGCTATTCCAACTCCAGACACAAGCATATGCTATTCCCTGGCTCTTCCTGGACCTTTGTATATAGTATCCCTCAGCCTATGTATTTTCCTCTCTTGAAACTCATGGATCCTCCTCACCCTTCAAAGACTGCTTTCCCCAGGAAAACTTCCCCAGCTGCCTCTGGCTAAAGGGGATTTTGCTCTTCCATAAGGAATTTTCCTGCAGCTGTTACTCATCCCACCCTCCTCCAAGAGATCAAATATGTCCACCTTGCACATTGACAAACATTTGTGTCCCTCTTCATTGGTAAGATTGCTCTTCACTTATTTCTACCCCACACAGAGACTAACATGGTGCCTGCTACCTAACAGGAGTTCAGTATATAGTCTTGGGTGGATGATCTTATATGTTTTCCAGGAACTTAATGAAGTAGATTGGGAAAGAAAACTGAGAAATTTACTTCAGGAAGTTACAAATCTCCAAATTCAGAAACTTGAGTTAATTAGGGTAAATTTCTCTGATACAGGCACACTGGCTTTAATTAAAAATTCATCAAGACATGTTACTGAGTATCTATACAGAAGATAAACATGGCAAAGCAATTTATCTAAGAAATAGAAATAGAGAATTTTCAAACAGTTTGACTTAACACATCACTATTACTTTTGGGTTGAACTGATTACCTCAGATAATAAATCATATCATAATAAATGAGAGAAGAGGGAATCAAGTTTTCAGCAGGATATTCTTTAAGACTGGTGACTATTAAAAATAGCCTAAAACCAATGGATAAAGAGGACGTGGTAATATATACAATGGAACATTACTCAGCCATGAAGAATGAAATAATTCTATGTGCAGCCACATGGATGGACCTAAAGATTGTCATACAGAGTGAAATAAGTCAGACAGAGAAGGAGAAATACCATGTGACATCCCTTATATGTGGAGTGTGAAAAGAAATGAGACAAATTAACTTACTTGCAAAACAGAGACTCACAGACTTAGAGAATGAACTTAATGTTGCTGGAGGGAAGGATGGGAGGAAGGGATAACTAGGGAGTTTGGGATGGACATGTACACAAGGTTATACTTAAAATGGATAACCTTACTTAAAATGGGTAACTGTACATCACTTGAAACTCTGCTCAACATTAAGTGGCAGCCTGGATGGGAGGAGAGTTTGGGGGAGAACGGATATATGTATATGTATGGCTGAATCTCTTCGCTGTTCATCTGAAACTATCACAACCTTGTTTGTTAATCAGCTATATTCTAACACAAAATAAAAAGATTTTTAAAAATTTAAAAATAGCCCATAACCAAACAGATTTTGTAGTAACATAAATGTGGACAGCATCATCTTTTTCTCCTAAGTGGAACTCAATTTAATCAACTACTGTTTAACATAAGCAAATTCCATAATGATGATCCACCCTCATTATCGTTGGTGAATAAGACTGGCCCTCTATAAACTCAAGGAGCTACACTTCATATCTTTTCTCCTCATTTTCTGCTGCCTGGAGAATCAGCCAGCAGTTTTTAAGGAGTCAGCCAGTCTGATGACTCAGCTCACAAAACAATGTGTGGCCACAAAGATGATGTTTATCCAGGAGCATCCTGGAGGCTTTTGCGACTGAAGTCGGCAAGCAGTAAGGCAAGTGGTACATGATGCTCATTCTCCAGAGGGGTTTAGGCCATGGTGCCAGAAGCACTCACTTCCCTCTCCCAGCAGCTGAGCTCATGTGGTGCTCTGTCCAAGCAGAATGATGGGAAAACTTCAGAGAAATGCAGCAGGTACAGAGGCAAGTCCAAGCGAAGTGCCGGTGATAGTGATGACATTTTGCCTTCTCTTCATCAAGAGGTGCTGCATCTATAGCTTATGGCCATCTGCACCCCAGGAACATGTGGCTAAGAGGCTCAGAATACATGTTATCCAACTTCTCTCTCCCCTGCTGGGTTCATCTAGGAATGGGTCTTCTCTGGTTAATAAAGCATCTACAGAGCAGGTTTCCTTCATGGTAAGCTAATCTCACTTCACCACCACCCCTTATGCTCCCCCAAAGCAACATCTTTTAGGAAACCTTCTCTCGGGAGGTAACACTGGAATAAAAGGCTAACAGAGTAGGTTAACACAGAGATGGCTGACAAAGTTAGGGTCCTTTCAGGTAAAGAGACCTAAGTAACGCAGATATTATTAGTATTTTCCTTTAAATTTTGTTGCATCTGAATATCTTTGCAGTGG